GCTCCCTGCCCCGAAGTGTATGTGTGCAAAGTTTGGCCCCGGGCGGAGCCGGGTTTGCCATCTAGTACACAATATTATGCGGTGCTTGTTTAAGCGGAATAATCAAAAGTCTGTAGACCTGCTCCAACACATATGTTTACAGCTTTGCCTCCCGTGTTTACAACTCCGAATGTTATAATTCTATACATTTATCCTAGTTGGTCAAAAGAATATAACTCGTATATTGTCGTTCAACTTAAAATTCTCACACAAATCTGCAAAACTTGTTTGAGAAATTTTGTTTCTATATCCAGGTCTCTGCATTTCTGGTGTTGCGTCTAGTAGTACTTTTATGAATATAAAGGTCCTGCTGACAATACTACCTATTCGACTATAACTTGCACTCACAACTTGTTTGAATAAACTCCGTACTAACATAAATATCAACTGGCTCCCATATATCCTGTTTTTGGATGGTACATACTCAGACAGTCGATGGGACACCTCCGGAGCAGAAGTGGGGGTCCCGGGCTTTCCCCGCGGAGGATTGCCACTTCGCGCTCCGGAACCCTGCCATTTCACGCATTTTTGTGCTCCGGGGCTCTCCCAAAAGTGGCGCACCTCCGGAGCAGAGATTTGCGCGTCGCGGAGAGGGGTCCCATTCATCCTGTTTGTGACATCACCGCGAAGTCACGGTGAATGAATGGGACCCCTCCCGCGACGCGCAACTCTTTGCTCGGGAGGTGCGCCACTTTTGGGGGAGCCCCGGAGCACAAAAATGCGTGACATGGCAGAGCTCCGGAGCGCGAAGTGGCAGACTTGCGCCATATGCCCGCCGGAGGTATCCCTTCGACTGTCTGAGTAGGTCGAACATGAGGATCGTCCTGGTGCTGATCGAACGAGTAGTCAGGCACACTACGCTCGAATGCAACATTTGTCTTCCTCCCCCTCCCCCTCCTCTCCTCTCCTCCTTTCATTTGACGTCTGTACGGCCCTCGCGCAAGTTGGGTGAACGTTAGCAATCATTTTAGTGAAATTTAATTCAATTGACTTACAACTTCTTATGACGCAATGTAAAACTAGGCATCAGCTTGTAGCTCCATCCCTTTGAGCGCATGGTGAGGCACGTCGTTAGAAAAATTTTGTTATACTTATGTGCTCGCTAATTGCATTTCCGCTTTTGCTTTCACTTACTAGGGTTCAACGTGCAGCACTTCAACAGGATCGTTTGTAAATCCAGAGATGAAGAGTTTCTTGCTTGTAATAGGAAAATGTAATTGGTCTTCCGATATCTATTTGTTAAAAGATGTTTTGTTTGAGCGTAAACCAGAAACGGTGAATGCTGAGATTCTTCATTTTTTGAAGTGTGTTACAGCTTCCACATTTGTTACTTGTGCATGTGCTCGACCATTTACTTCTAACGACGTTCGACTAGCTGGCACCCCCGATCTCGGCCAGCATGCTGCCTTAATTGGTCCGGTTCGGGATCTGAACGCGTTTACCCCGGTTTTTTCCCATAACATTTTGCTGTCCCTCTAGATCCCTCACCGTCAGCCTTTCCTCCTCCAATGAATTCAATATTGTACTGCGAGTGCTAGTGGAACAACTGGTTTCTTCAAGATATCTCAGAAATCTTGAGACCTAATCAAATTCAAAGAATGTAAATTAGGAGTACAAAAGCGGAGATTATTCAAGCATACGATTAGTGGGAGATATGTCTAACAACGAGAGAAAAACTTAGTCGAATATAGATACTTTGTGTTTGTATATTGTTTTTAAGTGCATCCCAGATATGTGCAAAAACAGCGACATGTATTTTCCAAAAAAACTCAAAGCAGTATATTTTATTGCGGCACATGTCGCTGATTGTGAGTCAAGTTGATTCATACATAGAGATAATACTTCGCAGGCTTTTGATCAACACTATGTGACGCACATTCATGCTTGCCAAATCAAAGCGTCTTCATTCCAGACCTTCAATCAACAGATGGGCATAAATAAGATTTGCAAGCATAAATAAATTAGCCAGTGCTTTCCTTCTTGCTTCTGGGGCACCCTCATTTACCAAAGACTCCCCTACAGCATCAATAGTGCCTTGTTTAAGCATAGTGTATATATGACATCTTCCTTATAGCTCCATGGATTGTACTGATGGGCTTACAACAATTATGACTTTTCTCACCCTTAATTCGAGCATTCTTTGTTCTTTGCCCGTCTTCTGTTGCTTGAGTCAACAGCACCTTTTTCAGATCAATGGATTCAGATACTCTTCACACAGTGAATTTGGTAAACAGCCTTATTGCTATTTCCATTTCAGTGTTGGCAAACGTTACAGTATGTGATTCAAATCTCGTTTTCATAACACTTGTGCCTCAAGGGATGGCATATCAATTACTTTGAAGAAAAATCAAGAGACTGACTTTTATCTGATGTCATTACTATCTTAAAAGAAATATTTGTCTAAATAGTCTAGCCATCAACATGGTGCATAAGTTTAATTAATTTTAAGAGGAAATCTTGGAAGAACCATCACTTAGGCTCATTAAAATCTGAATTGTGATGCGTCAACAGCATGTTCATTCAAACACTTATAGGTTGCAGTTTACATCGGCACACAATGGCGACATAGCCCTAAAAGTCACTATTATCACTTGTACAGTACGGTGTATGTTGCTATCATTGGTATTATGTACTCTATAAATGAGCTATTAGCCTCTCCGGTAAGCATCATTGTAATCTATGAAGTGTTTACGCTTCAAATGGTTCACAAACATCTTTGTAACAGATGATTCACATCGACGAAAATGAGCTTCTCTTTGTGAATAACGGTATCCTCCAACGCAAGGCTCCTGGGCAGATAGCTCTTGATGTATTCGGATTTTTTGTTATCTACACTATAATATTCTCTTCCTCTCAATTCCTAATCAAATACATGATTGTTTGCAAGTGAGCACATTCTATTGCCTCAAGTTTGATGTGTTTGATTTCCTCATATCTAACAAAAGCAGGATCAAGTCAACAATTGAAATCGTCTTCTAGGTCTTCCAGCAATGTGTCACATCATAGGATATATTTTGTTCATTTCATGGCACTATTATTAGCCCTAACATGGGCGCTTGTGCTAGGATATTCTTTGAGAAGTGGTCAGGATAAAGACAGTGGTTTGCACGAGATGGACCAGAAGCTCATCAGTCGGCCTTCTTTGAGTTCTCATATTGAGGTAATCTATCATGATGGCACAAACACATACAAGGTGCCTTAAAAATATGTGCCTACTGTTCGATTGTTAATAACTCTCTTCTGAAGTCTTTCTAGAAGCTTTAGGCTGGCTTCAACTTACGATTAGATTTACAGTATGGTGCGAATCAAAAATCCCTTTTCATTACTTTAGGATTAGGGTAAGAACTTTGGGGAGAGTTTTGAGTAAATAAAGGTCATATTTCACCCTTAAAATAGAACCAAAGAAGCTGAAAGCTCCACTAGATTAATCAAACTCCTGGATTCCAAACATACTCTCACTTCACAGTAACGCATCTTTCATAATTGACCCAGTTATATCACAACGGCCAATCTCTGCTATTCGTCACAAATTGATTAGGCCAATTAAGCAGCTCTGCGAAAGCGCAAAAATTTGTGTAGTGAAATCAGTGCATAAAAATCTTGTGAATGTTTCAGATTTTCTGGAAATTTTTTGTATAAACGGCCTTCACAGTGGCGCCATATGCTGCAAGTTCCTACCGTGCTCCTACGATAATGAAAATAGATTCTTAAATCGCTCTTATTGACAATCTATGTTGAAGCCAGCTCTACGGTACCTAAAGCTTCTCAAGACTTCATTACATGATAGTCATTAACAATCAAACAGCAGGCACATCTTTTTTGGGACACCGTGTATAAATCATGAATATAGCGGAAACATTCGTAACTTTTTCTGCCTGCATACTCGACGCTGCAAGCTGCAATCCACGATTCGGTGAGGGAACGAACCCAGTTTGGTCCGCCTAAAACGACTGATCATTTGCAAGACTGTTGCAAGTCGTTTGAGGACCAGTAGTTGGCGGAGCTGGACCAAAATGGAAGCTGAGAGAAAGAGAACAGGAGACAAGTAGCGTGATATGCAGTACGCATACCAATCACAAATGAAACAACTTTATATTTCTCCCTTAAAATTGTTTCTGCCCCTTTAGCATGATTGAAACAAAAAGTGGGTGCCCCTAGATGATCTTACATTTTTCTATTAAAAATGTATCCCATTCAAAAAGAATAATTACCAAATATCTACTTAAAGATACACTAACGGTCCCGCCAGGGCCATTATTGAAGGTTGCTTGAAAAATCGTATATAAGTATATGCCATTCATTCCCCAAGAGAGACGAGCCATTTTGCGTATGATCGTCTCCACGATTCGTGTAGAGGCGGGTTGCGGACTTCCCCTGATTTTAAGGATGAACTTGTTGAACCACGTCATAGCATTGTTTTTCGTACTCTCTCGCTCGCTATCAAAACCGCCACGCTTTGAGTTGGCGAAACCCCGCCTCTACATAAATCGTGGAGTAGATGATATTTCTGATTAACAAGTTCATGAGTGCGTAACGCATACTGGTAATACTGTTAGAAATTTGTGAAAGAGCATGTTCGAACTTGCGTTGTTCAACAAGCTCAAACTTATTCTTTCAGGAAGTTAATAGTAAATGAACCAAGACGCATTAAAGCTCACTTATGAACATGTCACTTAAACGTACGCAAAGCGTGTTCGTGTTTCTTAGTCAGATAATGAATGATAAATGAATCCACTATAGGAACGCAAAATTCGGAAACATAGTGCGCACGGCTTTTGCGAGTTGAAGATGCGTAGCATGAATTATAAATAACGAGGACTTCTCCATACTGCGCGGCGTCTAAACGGGGAAAGTATGCCGCCTGTCAGTAAAGGAATCTTGATTTTTTTTTTCAGGGGAATGCTATGCTTATTGTAGCTGGTTGTTCACTGCTCTTTCTCATTTTGCTATCATTTCTTATTATGATGTACTGCTCTCAGCGAATTACTAAAGTGCTGAAGCGCCTTCAGCATGAATCAAAATACATACAAATACGAATGTATCAGATATTGTTGATAGAGGTAACTATCCTATCAGAACCATTGAAAAAAATTTCCTTCAATTTTTAAAATTCGTGACTTCAGGCCACTATTCCCATTGTGCTTATACATATACCCTTAACAATTTGCTGTGTTCTACCTTTAGTGGACCTCCATGTAGAGGTGCTACTTGAGATTCTTCCATTACTCTTCGCTTGGTTGGCACTTTTCTTCCTCTGATATCACTTATTCAAATCAAGAGCGTTTTGTAGGTATCCGGCTATCAGTCCTCTGTTGATCATTTGGAGCCTGAATAGAAAGAACAACTGGAGAAAGAAGATCACTTCTTCTACTATTGTTACCACACTGCAAGTAAAATATCGATGATTTTACCATAAATCTTCTGACTGTAGTTAGATCCTTCAAAGATCTACGCATGATGGTTAAATGATCTCAAAACGGAATTATGAGTTTTATCACAATTGTTCACCGATGGTTGTCCTGATATAGCTGAGAACAAATCGTCCCAAAAAAACAAAAAACAATTAGGAATAAGCCTTTGGTCAAGAGAGAGTCGATTTTTTGAAGTATTAACGCCCGATTTTCTGCGATTGCACTTGACTAAACGGTACGTGATTGAGTTGAATTTTTTCTTAGGTAAGAGCTTCTCATTAAGTTTATCTCCAAAGAAGCTCTTTCGCCTAAGTCTTACGTCGTTCGTTAGATTTCACATTAGGGCCTGCGATGATCTGCCTCGAAACTTCACATCATAAACAAGCTAGGGTTGCGACAGCTCAGAGCGAAACACCGACCTAGTTTGAGCTCAACCTCATTCTGCAGGCCATTGAACAATTTACCTTTCTATCTTTCATCACAAACTATCTCTGCAAAAATTGAGATGATCGCTCACAGCGAGCATGATCACTGCGCTACATCGAACGCTTTGATGGGTGTCACATGCAATGAATGAGTGCAAAAAATTGTGATAATAAGTAAATCAACCAAACACTCACACACGTGCTTTCTAGTTTGAACGCGTCTTATTCTTGTAAAACCATTCACTTACTTTTATAATTTGAACCAATTCCCATTTCTCGTCATTCCATTTCGCGAACTTGGCGTGGTCAATCTAAACTCGCGCTACTTTTCTGTCTTTTCTGCAACCCTCATCACTGCGTACTGTCTTGCAAAAAAGGAGGTGACGTATAAGCTTGCGATAGTTACGTCTAAGAGCACGAGCACTAGCAGGAGCTAGGGTCTCGATCCCGTTAACGCGATTTGACAAGTACGTTAAAAGATAGCCGGCAGGTCAATCAATAGTCCGAACGAAACTGAGCTCCAGCTCGGGTGGCAACCTCGTACGCCATTACTAAGGAGGATACTACGGCCTAGCTAACCTTTGATTCAACTGGCTTGGCTCCGTTAGAGCGGAGTTTTGTGATCTGATTAAGGCCGCTCGCGTCCGCGACGCACCTGCGTCTCTCTCTCGGGAGTACTCTCTGATCATTACCTAGCCTTAATTAGATCACGAAGCTCCGCCTTTGCCGAGGCCAAGCCAGTTGAATTAAATGGTATATTAGGCAACTTCGATTGTTATGCCTCCGTGGTAATGTGAAAGCACCCAAAGTAAAAACGCGGTCGTTGAATTTTAAAAGCACTTCTAAGCATGCATTAACATCCCCGCCGGAGAGGGGATCGCAGCTTAAAAGAATGCTTCATATTCTGAAGCTCCGAACTTCTGGATTTCACGCTATATATCTATCCGTTAGTATTTCTAACATCTTTCACTATGAGCATAATGAACAGGAGCGAGAAGCTGTACAAGCCGCATTTTCTAGCATTTTGTATAATCCCCTGATGAACCCTGACGGCCGACCGCCTTTTCTTTAAAGTCACTTTTCTTCCCTTGAAAGTAACGAAACCTTCCAAGTTGCACGGTTCGTCTAAACCAATAGTGCTAAACATGTTGCTGATGAGAATGAATGGGTTTTTGAAAAACCGAATTTTTCGATAAATCCTAACATTCGACTTGTGGTTCATCGCAGATTTCATGACTCCAATACATCTTTGTTCTTATCAGCAACATGCTTAGCACTGTTGGGCTGAATGAACAGTTCAACTTTGGAATGTCGCTATTTTTGAAGAAAGAAGAACTTTGAATAAAAGACGCGGCCGCCAGGGAATTATCAGGGGACCTTACAAAAATCTAGAAGATGCGTCTTGTACAGCATCTCACTCCTGTTCAACATATTCATAGTGAAGGAAGGTAGGAATACTTACGGATCGGTATATAGCGTGAAATCCAGATATCTGAAGCTTCAGGATATGAAGCTTTCTTTGTAAGCTGCGATCCCTTCCCTAGCGGAGATGCTAATGCATGCGGCTTTAAGTTTACTATTGATAAACGATGTAGAAGGAAATTTTCGCATGGACCAAGAACGGTTGTTTCTTCGTTACGTGTATAAAAGGCTGACTTTTTCTTTGAAACCAAGTTAATCTGTTTGAAAATGAAACTTTTTGAATGTAAAGAAATACTGGGAATTGTAGTCGGTGACAGGTTCTGAAGCTCAAATGTATTTTGTCATGCTGAGTATGGAAATCACACCCATTCAATGGTGAGGCCTTTTTGGTAGCTTATGGTGGCTGTATAATAAGGAATGATAACGAAACTTGCTGAAACTTCGGTAATGGAGTCGTCAAACATGTTATCTCTAGATGAGCTTGGTTCCCTGACAACTTCCGTCCCTCTATTCACTTCCTCAAAACGGCTCCAGGTCAGGACCGGTTGACCCCACGCTTGACCCAGGTGATGACGCTATATTCCCCCCCCCCCCCCTCTCTCTCACTCAAACTCAGACAATCGACGCCGTAGCTCCGGAGGGCGGTCGAAATCTGGCAAAGCTCGACGCCGGAGCTGGAGGGGGCGGGGCGAGGGGGCGGTTCCTTCTTGTGACGTCACAGTGACGTCACAAGAAGGCCGGTGGGACCCCTCCCCCGGGCTCACAAATCTCTACTCAGGAGGTGCGCCAGATTTGGAGGAGCCCTGGAGCACAGATTTGCGCTCCGGAGGTGTGCCAGATTTGGGACACCTTCGCAGCACACTAGGTACGCAGAATTTGCAGGCGCTGAAGCTGATACGCAGCTCAGCATTTTCAAAATTACGCTGCCCCCGCTTTCGGACTTGCTCCTTTTTTCTCGTTCTTTTCCACTCGCTTTTCTTTTTCTTCTTCGCGTTGCTCTTCGGCTGTCGGCGATTCATGTTGTTCGGCGATCTTCCTTCTTTTCGCGCTACGTGTTTCGGGTTTTCGTGCGGATGCACTCAATCACTTTCGGTGTTCGGTACTCGTTTTCGACTTGCTGTTGTTTTTCCGCGCTCTTTACCATTCCTTTTCTTTTTTGCTCTTCGGCGCTTTTGGCGTTTATAATGTTCTAAGTTCCTTCTTTTCGGGTTTATGTTTCGGGTTTTCGTCCCCAAGGTTGCCCCCAAGCAATACGTTGGGCGGAGCATTGCAGACATTTGAACACATTGGTGAGCTTGCCAAACCTTTGTTGACAACATATACACATGGGCAATGCTTTGGAGAGGAGGATTAACAAGCTTAAAAATATGTTCAAATGTCTGCAACATTTCGCCAACGCTCAGTATTTTTTAAATAGCAAGATGTAGAATGTGTACTAATAAATAATACGTTTTCATTCGAACAAAAGACAAGGGAACAAGGAGAATTACTGGAAATGAACAGGTTTCAATGCTACAAGTCGTCAAGTAGCGCGCATAGTGTTCAATGCACATTTCGACTCTAAATGACTTGAAGATAGAATGTCTATCTGTTATTTCGCCCCACTTTTGATGGACAGCTAGATACTTTCCGTACCACATTATAAGTTTCCGACAAACAAGAGATTGGAAGTTATTGTGGACGTTTGCGTCTTTTTTGATTGCCTTCTCTTCATTAGCTGCGTCTCTTCCAATCGGGCTCCATATCTGGTCCGCTCTTCTGAATTTTTCAAGCCGTAAAATTATTTGACGTTTATTTATTAGGTTGTAACAAAATTAATGCAGGTTCTGAATTCCAACCGCAATAAGTCATACACTTCTCATTTCTAAGTAGGTTGCAAAATACCGTTCGATAGAGCAAAGCAATCTTCATAAGGCGGCTATCTTGCTTTAGCAACAACTGCGATCTACCACGAGTTTCGAGCCAAAAAACTAAAAAGATTCAACTGTCCGAAAAATAGAGAAAAATCGTAACTCAGTTCATAAAAAACCTACAAAAATTCTAGCTTGCTCACTTAAACGCTATTCACATAAGACATCTATACACGCCTTTGCCGTATTTTTTTCTCTGTTAGAAATCAAGAAAACGGAAATTTTCGTGCGTTTGCCAAAGTGATGCAGTGCCGTTTCCACATAAGTAGTTGTATACTACAAACCTGTAGAAGTATAAACGTGAGTTTCCAGCTCTCTACAAGCTTTAGTTCTCGAGAATTATCGAATACAGTTTTCCCTAGTCATGTGGTCCAAGCTAAAATTCAAATTTCTCGAGAACTAAAGCTTATACAGAGCTGGAAATTTACGTTTGTACTTCTACATGCTTGTAGTATACAACTACTTATGCGGGAACGGCACAGCGACACTTTGGCAAATGCACGAAAATTTCCGTTTACTTGATTTCTAACAGAGAAAAAAATAAGGCAAAGGCGTGTATAGATGTCTTATGTGAATAGTGTTTGTGTGAGCAAGCTAGAATTTTTGTAGGTTTTTTATGAACTGAGTTACGATTTTTCTCTATTTTTCGGACAGTTGAATCTTTTTAGTTTTTGGCTCGAAACTCGTGGTAGATCACAGTTGTTGCTAAAGCAAGATTGCCACCTTATAGAGATTGCTTTGCTCTATCGAATGGTATTTTGCAACCTACTTAGAAATGAGAAGTGTATGACTTATTGCGGTTGGAATTCAAAACCTGCATTAATTCTGTTACAACCTAATAGTAAGAAGCATTTGAGCTTTAGCGTTATCTTTTTGAGACAAATCTGAGGCTAAATATACAATCTTTATATCTCATTTAGCATTTGATACTTTCAAAGGGAATGATTTAAATCAAACTGTCCATATGTTTTTAACCAAGGTTAAGATCTTATTTGAAATCATCATCTTATTTAGGTGTTCTGACACGACTTCAACAACTAGATGAATCACTAAACCGAGCACTCGTTGCTCCACCATTGATGCGACACGTGTTGATGTGGGTAGAGTTCACAATTAGTTGCTGTAAACTTACTGTTGCTCGTATGCACGACATTGCACAAGGAGGGGAGGGGAGTTAGAGATGCTTTATTTCAAAGCTATGAAATCTAGGTTTTCCTTCAAGCTGCGTACGGAGTTCTCCGTGCCAGCGCCGTTCCAGCCCCATGCTAGCGACGTGGCGTAAGTCGACCAATCAATAAGGAGTGGGTCCAAGTAGGCTGCGGCCTTCCCTTGCACGTCGCTGGAATGAACTGGCACTCGGCAAGGGACACTACCTTTGTGTGGCATCATTTGCATTTTTTTCCACAGTCGTATACCTTTACATGAGCTTTGGAATCGTCGCAATGGTCTACCGAGGAGTAATTTTCAATCTCAAGCTTTGATCAGAAACATTAAGCATTCCCCTGTTCATTTGTGGGGACTGGTCAGAATTTTTATAATCTAATTTTCGGAAGGTATCATAATCTATGTTTGGCTTGCACGTCACAAAAAAGTGTAGTTTTGTCTGATCAGGTTATCTGTATGCGACGTTTCATTGAGTGATAGAATGACAAATGCATTTATAGAAAATCCGCTGACCCGCGAGGAAATTCCGACTGATGAAATAGATTAACAGGAAGTGGAACTCATTTGCCATATATTCGTTTAAGGTTTTCGAATTGCAAGGTAGAATCACTTGAGAGAGAAATATGCAAGAACAGGGAAAGTACAAGTTCAAAATTCTCCCTGCCCCCCCCCCCCCCTTTCTTCCACGAGAATGTTCGTGCATCAAAAAAAAGATCTTTGGTTGAAAAATGGAGATTTGGAGAATCGAATCTGATTATTTAATTAATTAATTATATAATTATTTTGATATTTTCTTGCAGAGATAGAATGATAAAATGTGCAGTACTTTTCCGTGGGAACTGTCTCTGATCGACTCATAGTTACAGGTGAATGGAGTTTCTTGGCTTATTGGCAGCTCGCCATCTCTAGTTTTTGGAGCTAGTTCCAAGTGGAATCTCGATACTCAACATCAGCTTAGAGTACTTTTTTTCGGGAATTTTTTTTTAATGTAATACTATGTCATCTCTAAATAGGATATCTTCGTTGATCCCATCTTAGCCACATTTCAGGGCTTTTACTGGACCTGCTCCTCAGTGAAGCTATAAAATTGAGCATACAACGGCCACGACCCAAATACAACATTAACGATCAGGTGAGGTATTGAAAAATAAAGTTTGATGTGACGATTTTTATTTTCCAGCGTTTCGAAGCACCTGTATTCGGCCGCTTTTCCTTCCCTTTTGGGCACTCTTTAAGAGCGGCTATGTTAGCAAGTTTGTGGTGAGTTAAGTGGTTCTTAATATTCAGAAAAATAAAACTGTAAAAAATAACTGCAAAAGCGATCCACAATCTTCACTCACAAGCAGTGAACCGCTTCGGAAGTCAAAGCACATCTGTGGTTTTTTGGCAAGAAGAGAATGCTAACTGAGTCCGAAATAGGGCATAATTCCCACAGAACTCAACAAAGCTTGGATTTTTTTTTGAGAATGAGTTCTTAGTCAGTCCCATGTGATGATATTATTTCAGTGTCGCATTTTACCCCAGTACCGGTTCGCTGCCGCTGGATTATCAATGCTAGTTGCGTTCAGCAGGGTAGCTATGGGACGACATTATGTCAGCGATGCAATTTGCGATAGATTGTTTGCAGTTAATTTGAAATAAATGTCTTGTCGCTTCATTCTTCTATCTTTTGCTATCTACAAAGCTAGGGGTGAAAGGAGGGGGCAGAGAACGGGCTTGAGAGTCGCGCTGAAGTCCTACCCGGGGGGGGGGGGGAGGTCGTATTCGGCGGTCATATGCCACACCTTTTGCTCGACCCTGGTCTACAGCTAATTTGAGTGGGGTTTAGAGACATAATTGGGGTTTGAAGCTTAATTAGGGCTAATTACACTATGCCGCGGCAGACTTCCGGAGCACAAATTGGGAGTGCTCCGAAGCACAAAATGGGAGGGCTCCGGAGCACGAATGGCAAACCCCCGCTGAGCAGACCCCGGCACCCCCCCCCCCATTTTGCCCTCAGGAGGTATGCCGTCGACTGTCTGAGAAAAAAACCCTCGAGATAGATCTCAAAATTTCAAATCTGAATGAAAGCAGTTTCGCTACGATAGCAGAACCCTTCCTCTTCACTCTATTTTTCTAATTTAGTATTCTTTTCTCAGTTGTCGATAGCGCAGACCTGATCTCTAACGGATTGAGAATTTCGTCGTTTTTTTTGTTTTATTAGGAAAAGAATGTATAGCGGAAGTGACTGCGCTATTTAGTTCATAACACGTCTGATACCGACAAAAGCAATGACAAACAGACCAATAATTGTATTCATATTCATAACTAGCTGCCGTCCCCGGTCCAGCCCGGGCGAAGGGTCCAAAACCCCATAATGTCCATTTCAAATCATTTATGGCTTACCACTCCTCTTTTCACTTCATATCATCTCTTCTTTTCCTGCTTCAGCTCCGAGTTGAATTGCAGCGCCGCTGTGGCATCCGTAGTGAGATTGCCTTCCTTCTTGACCGCCTCCCTCCGTGACACCGCATCCTCCTACCGCATAATGTAAATGATCTCTACCGCCCCTTACTACTTAGCTTAAAGAACTAAATGATGTAGCTTTCATTTTGCTAGATGTAAGTAAACAAATCAATAAATCGATGGAAGGACTCAGCGAATTGTCGCAAAAAGTAGCCTATCTTCTGCGCCGTGGCTTGTTTGTAGGGAGAGAATTTCAGCCTCTTCGGTTCACATACAAAGGAGTCTATAAGCCACAAACATCCTAAAAACAAAGGTACAGTGTTTGAGTTATATATATATAATATATATATTATATATATAATATATATATATACTAGCTGATGGTCTCGGTCTCACCCCGAGACTCTTAGTTTAATCAAAATGGGATAGGGGAACGAACTCTGCCATTTTGGAACATTTCCGCGGACTATTGGTCCTGCAACCACAACCGCAATATTTCTAAAGGACCGGTTGCCGGCAAAGGCGGGCTCAAACTGGCGGAGTTCGTTCCCTTACCTACCAAAATGACATCGGCTCCCAGATTCGTGTAGAGGCGGGTTGCGCACTTCCCTGATTTTCGAGATAAACTCGTTAAACCTCCACGTTATAGCAATTGTATTTCGTACTCTCTCGTTGAGCTTATCTTTAAATTAGTGAAGTCCACAGCACGCCTCCACAGGAATCTGAATCTTCAATTTAGTGAAATCCGCAGCTCGCCTCCACAGGAATCTGGAAGCCGATCATATTTCCACTTTCTAACTTCGATAATGCGCGAAAAGCGCTCTAAGACGAACCCGCTGCATCCTGTCGACCTTGAGATTAGAATGAACTTTACTAACCCTGCCCACATGTTTACTGGAAAATGATTGGTCAGAGCCCGTCAAACTCTCATTTTAGTACTCTGCGTTGATACCAACTGCTT